ACAATGGGCCTCCTCAAGAATCAATCTAATCAAATCGCCTGTCCTGGGCACACAAATTCTGCCTCCGAGCCGCAAGACAACATCAGAATCAAGGACAGCCTCCTTAGGTTCCCCTCTCAATACTTTGTCTCGAATGAGACATAATTTTTCATCATCAAACTGGTGTGCACGGATTTGCTCAACTAAAAAAGACTGAGCCTCAATAAAAGCAATCATCCCATCACTCTCTTCTGAAATCTGCAAGCGGACAAGACTGTTAGCTAATATATGCACATCTCTAGCCAATATTCTCTCCTCAATACTAAGCGCTGCAAGACTCCCCATGCTAGGAGTCTTCCTACACAGAGCATCGGCCACAACATTGGCCTTTCCTGGATGATACAGAATGGTCACATCATAGTCCTTCAGCAACTCAAGCCATCTCCGTTGCCTCAAGTTCAAATCCCTCTGGCTAAAGATATACTGAAGACTCCGATGATCAGTGAAGATCTCACAATGCACTCCATACAAATAATGACGCCATAACTTAAGTACAAATACCACAGCCGCCAACTCTAGATCATGAGTAGGGTAGTTCTTCTCATGGGACTTCAATTGCCTAGAATCATAAGCAATAACTTTCCCCTTCTGTATTAACACACCACCCAATACAACTCCTGAAGCATCACAATACACAGTAAAGTCTACACCTTCCTTAGGTAGAGTCAATACAGGAGCAGAAGTCAACAAAGTCTTGAGCTTTTGAAAGCTCTCCTCACACTCATCAGACCATTGAAAGCCCACATCCTGTCGAGTCAATCTAGTCAATGGAGCTGCAATAGTAGAGAAACTCTTAACAAATCGTCGATAATATCCTGCCAATCCCACAAAACTCCTAATCTCAGTAGGTGAAGTAGGTCGCGTCCAACCTTTAAGTGCCTCAATCTTGGCCGGATCTACTCTAATACCCTTCTTGGCAACCACGTGTCCCAAAAATGTCACAGAAGTAAGGCAGAACTCACACTTTGAGAACTTGGCATACAATTTCTCTTCTCTCAACCTCTGAAGTACAATCCTTAGATGTCGGACATGGTCCTCCTCAGTCTTAGAGTAAACCAAGATGTCATCGATGAAAACAATCACAAAAGAATCAAGGTATGGTCGAAACACCCCATTCATCAACTCCATGAATGTTGCAGGGGCATTAGTCAATCCGAAGGACATCACTAGGAACTCATAATGCCCATACCGAGTTCGAAAAGTTGTCTTAGGGATATCTGATGCCCTAATCTTCAACTGATGATAACCAAACCTCAAATCAATCGTAGAGAACAATGATGGTCCCTGTAACTGATCAAATAAGTCATCAATATGCGGAAGAGGATACTTATTCTTCACTGTTACCTTGTTTAACTGTCTGTAATCAATACACATTCTCATAGTCCTATCCTTCTTCTTCACAAATAATATAGGGACACCCCAAGGTGATACACTAGGGCGAATAAAACCCTTACTCAATAAATCTTGCAACCGATCATTAAATTCTTTCAACTCTGCTGGGGTGATACGATATGGAGGTATAGAAATAGGCTTAGTGCCCGGCTCCAAATCAATAGCAAAATCGATATCCCTATCGGGAGGAACACCTGGAAGATCAGAAGGAAATACATCGAGAAACTCCTGAACCACGGGAACAGAGTCCATGGAAGGTGGTTCAACACTAGTATCCCGAATAAATGCTAAGTAAGACAAACACCCCTCTCCACCAATTTCTGAGCATGGATAAAAGAGATGACCTTGCTAGGATAAGAACCACTAGCACTCTTCCACTAAACCCTCAGAATACCAGGCATTGCTAAAGTCACAGTCTTTGCATTACAATCAAGGACAGCATGATAAGGAGAAAGCCAATCCATACCCAAGATAACATCAAAGTCTACCATCCCCAGAATGATTAAGTCTACCCAAGTGTCATACCCAGCCAATAAAATAAGACAGGATCGATATACTCGATCCACCACTAAGGGCTTACCCACGGGTGTAGAAACACGAATAGGTATAGTCATGCTATCACATATCATATCAAATTTAGCAGTAAAATACGTAGACACATAAGAGAATGTAGAACCTAGATCAAACAACACAGATGCAGGTCGATGGCATACTGGGATGATACCTGTAAAAACAGCATCAGAGGTCTCCGCCTCAGGTTTCTCGGGGAAAGCATAGCAGTGGCCTCCTCGTCCACCTCCATCCTGGGTGGTACCTCTACCCCCACTCTGCTGAGCTGCAACACCACTACTAGAAACTCTATCACCTCTACCTCACTGAACTCTGCCACGACCTCTACCCTGTGGTGCTGGTGGTCTAGTCTGGAATGAAGAATTAGGTCGAGGCCCACCACGACCCCTTTGAGAAGTACACTGCCGCATTAGATGATCGGGATCTCCACAAGTAAAACAAAATTTCTAACTTGGGAACTGCTGTGTGGACCCTGAAAACCCACTATAATTGCCTCGCCCTGTAGGTCGCTGCTGTGAACTGTACGAGCCCTGACCCGGGCCATAAGAACCCCTAGATGTCAGGCCACCCTCAAATGTCGGCATAGATGCATGAATAGGTCCCCGCTGTTGAAAAGAACCACTCACTCTATGTGATCCCCTACCTCCAGATGAGGCACCCTGAAATTAACCTGATATACGAGCTTTTTTAGGGTCCCCAAACTCCTCTCTCTCCATCAATTCCGCCTCTTTGGCGGTGCTCACAATAGACTAGAAAGAAGTCCCCTCCCTAGATTTCCGAAACACAGCTGACCTGATAGAGAAAGTCAATTCCCTCACAAATCTGCGGATCCTCTCTGTCTCATTTGGAATAATGGCAAACACATGCCTAGACAACTGGCAAAAATGCGCCTCATACTCTGTAACCGATAAGCCATCCTGTCTCAGACTCTCAAACCTCAAGCGACTCTCCTCTCTCACGCTCCATGGGATAAAATGATCTTGGAATGCGCTAGCAAAAACTGCTCCCAAGTCACTGGAGGAGATCCAACTGGCAAACATCCCGAATACGTCCTCCACCAGTCTCTCGCTGGTCCACAAAGCTGGAGTATAGCATATCGAACCCCATGTGACTCAGCTAATCCAACCACCTCTAGTACCTCTGAGCAGGTAGTTAGAAACTCATGAGCGTCCTCGCTCTTCCACCCTGAAACTGAGGTAGGTCCATCTTTCGAAATCTCTCATACCTACGCTGCTCATCCTCTGTCAGAACAACCATCGATGCAACTTGACACCCAACTGCTGGTGCAAAATCATTCTGAACTGCGGGATCTACTGGTAGTTGCCCCACCGCATCTTGAACAGCTGGAGTTTGTCGCTGCTCTTGTGTCTGAGCCCCCTCTATAGTACGGGATTCATGTGGTGTGGTAGTCGCACCACCACCCTGAGAAAAGCCTTCAAGCACACTTAACACCCTCAATAGTGTATCCTGAAGCAAAGGTGTGACTACAGGATCTGGAGGAACCTTGTCCTCCCTGCCATCAATCTGAGGTTCTGTAGAGACCTCTCTAGTACGACCTCTCACTAGTGTTGCTCCACGTCCACGACCTCTGGCTACTGTCGTACTACTAGAAAGACCTCTAGCTCGAGATCTAACCATACCCCTAGTTGGGGCCTCAACAACTGCCTCGGGAAGTGCCTCCCCTCTACCACCAGTAACATTAGTTCTAGTCCTCGTCATCTGTCAAAAGAGTATACAACAATTCAGTACTAACGAAGGTAAATACGCACGATCAGAAAGAATGAACAAAAGGAAGTTTCCTAGTAATCTTTATAGTCTCTCAGAGATGATTGCAGACATCTCCGTACTGATCCTTGAGACTCTATGTAGACTCAGCTTGTATACACGTGAGACCTATGAACCTGGGGCTCGGATACCATTTTGTCACGACCCAAAAATGAGTGTGATGGCACTCGTCTTATCCCACTAAGACAAGTCAGCCTAAAACCCAATATCTAACAAAGTGCGGAAGTAAATGACAATCCAACAACAATTTCTATTATGAAACCAAGTCATATTAATTCAATCCCCAAAACCAGGTTGTCACGTGCACAAGCCTCTAATGTAAATATTAGAATTGAAATAAAATAGAAGTCTAACATGAAGTTGTCTTTCAAGTAAAAACAAAGTCATAAACTGGAGTAGGAAAGTTCGCTGAGATGACAAACAACTACCTCACAACCCTCCAGAAGATGCATTGGAAACGAAAAGAATGACAAGTATTACGAAAATCCGGGCTCGTAACCTACAAAAATTTGTAGAAGCAAGGGGTGAGTACCAAACCACGCAGTACCCAACAAGCAAACCTCTAAACACAAGTTAAGTGAACAAAATACGGGTTCTCCTTACACCCTATCTAAACCTCCACGCTACAGCCTAACAGTTTACAGTTTACCAAACACACAACTCAATAACCACACTCTATCAGTTTACACATTCTCAATAACAACTCAATATTCAACAATCACAAGCTTCACAGAGAAACAATCACAAGATCAGCAAAACACGTGTTCAAATTCATTAATAAAATGTGCAATGCCATTAGATGAAATGTCAAGTATAATGATGCATGTCTTTCTTAACGATACACACCCGCTGTCTCTCAGTCCGGGACACATCGGGGACATATCTTTCCATGCATCTATCGTGGCGCACGACACAACCCTTGATAATAGTATTCTTCGCGGCACGCGATACATCCCTCGAATTATAATACCCATCGCGGCGCGCGATACGACCCTCGAAATTGTAAATCCTCTTACCACAACCATGCCTCAGATACAATGCAAATGACATGCTCAAATGAAAAGGAGGAGATAACCATTTTGATAACAAAGTACAATTTACAACCAGGAATACAACACCAACAAATAAGCGACAAGTCTCCAAGTCATTCTCAACACCACACAAAGAAATACATGAATTTCATACGCTTAACAAGGGTTTAGAGATCCACTTTCCTCAAATAGTAGAACAATCACTTCGGAACTTGAGTCTTCCCTTTTTGTTGAACTTCCAACTCAAAATAATCTATTTAAATAAGTAACCACGATAAGATTTTTGAAACTAACAATACCTATATGTCTATCTTTGACCCGAAACTCACTCAAGTGCGTAACAAAGTTCCCAAATCTTGATTCCGGTCAATAGGTCAAATCTTATATTTTATAAATTTCAAGTATGACATCAAGTTATAACTTTTCCAAATAATACAATCATACAAATTTTCTATAATATAATATATCAATATTTAACACCTTGACTCACTACATTAAAATATCTATATATATTAAAAATGGTAAAAATTAAACTAAGCCCTAATTATTTTTTTTATGGACGACCACTGCATTCAAAATATAAATGAATGCCTTTTGTTATTATGATGATTACATAGCCATCAATTGGCCATAATGATTAAAAAAAATGCACGAAAGTCAATTTGTGCCAATTTTAAGTCACTGCAAACAAAAATATAATATATAAAATATATAGTAAATTGAAATGTGAAAGTTGTTACCTTCTGTAACGACATGTTTAGTCGTTTTGAGTAGCAGACTTCAATTCTGGAAAAACTGTCAGAAGCGACGGACCCCACAACGGACCGTCATGGGCATGACGGACGGTCGCAGGGTCTCGTTTCAAAACACTTAGAAAATCTCAATTTGGGTACTGAATATCGACTCAGTGAACTTCGTGACGGAGTGGCAGGACGGACCGTCGCAGGCTCGACGGCCCGTCACAGGCCATTCACTTAAAATCGAGTTTCTGTAGCATGTGACGGATAGCAGGACGGACCGTCGCAGGCACGACGGCCCGTCATGGGCTACGCAATCCCAGGCTGGGTCAGATTTCTGTTAATTTATTTAAGGGTCGTTCTGGACTATTTCCTGATTTAATTATAAAGTGGTGGGTTAATGTTAATAAGTCTAATTACTTGGGGGTTAAAAAAGGTAACCTTAAGTTAACTAGTGGGTTATTATTGCCATCTTTTACACTTAATTATATGTTAATTAGGGTAAAAGAAAGAGAGTTTGAATAAGAAAAATAAGAAAGAACAAAGAGAGACAGAAAAAGAAAGAGAACGAGTAGAGAGAGAGAGAAACATAGAGGATAGCAAGGATTTTGAGAAGATAGCTTGTTGATCGCAATTCTTTGGTGGAGGTAGGTTATGGTTTTCATGCTATTCGTAGTAAACTCTTAATAGCGAATGATATGTGTTAGTAGTATTGTGAACCTTCTATATGCTTAATTGTATTCATGCATGAATGTGATTATATAATTGTGATTATATTAAGCATGATGAAGTTATTGAATCCCAAATCTTGATAAAAACCTAATCTCTTTTTAATGATGATGCCTTGGTAAGGGAGAAGGCTTGATGAACTAAAGTAATGAGATTGATGATGCTTTGGTAAGGGAGAAGGCTTGATGAGTTGATATAATGAGATTAGGAGATCGGGTGTCATGAACCGACACGTAGAATTAGGGGATCAGGTGTCACGAACCGACACGTAGATTTAGGGGATTGGGTGTCACGAACCGACACGTAGATTTAGGGGATCGGAGTGTCACGTACCGACATAAGAGGATTAATGAATATGAGGAAGCGGAGTGTCACGTACCGACACTAGAGAAGTAAAGATAATGAATCTTGAAAGATGTTAATATACTCAATCTAATGTACATAATTCCCAAATGAGTATGGTATTGAGGCTTGAGTCCTCATGTGTGAACTTGACGGTAATTGTTAATGATATAGTACTTGTTGTTGCTACATTTTGAGTATCATAGTTGATTTTATGATATTACTTGATATATATTGTTTTCTATTTTGAGTTGGCCGATGATATCTACTCAGTACCCGTGTTTTGTATTGACCCCTACTTTTATGTTTTTCTTCTTGTTATTTGTGGAGTGCAGCAAACGTGCTGTCGTCTTCAACTCAACAGTAATTCTAGCCAGTCTTCGTGACACCGGATCTTCAGGGTGAGCTAACGCTTCTAGCTTGGACTGGATCTTCTCCTTCATGTCTTGATGCCTTGAAGTTCCGGCATGGACTAGCTTTTATTTGTTTTAGCTTTTTAGAATACTCTTAATTTAGTCATTTGATCGTAGATGTTCTTGTGGTGATGACTTCCAGATTTTGGGGAATGATAAGTTTTGAGTTATAGAAGTTGATTATTGATTTTTATTAATGAGTTTAAGTCTTCCGCATTACTTCATGTTGATATTATATTGAAATTTTAAGGTTTAGATTGGTTGCTTCGCTCACATAGGAGGGTAAGTGTGGGTGCCAGTCGCGGACTGGATTTGGGGTGTGACAAACTTGGTATCAGAGCATTAGGTTCGTTGGTCTCATCACACAAGAACGAGTCTAGTAGAGTCTTGAGGAACGGTAGGGGGACGCCTTTACTTTTCTTTCAGAGGCTATAGGACTTTAGGAAAATTCCATTCTTTCTTTCTTTCGATCGTGCTACTACTTGAATCCAATTGGTATCTAGGTGATACAAATTGGTATCTGACCATCTTCACTCTCTTTCGCAGATGGGTAGAACTAGAGCAACGACTACGCCAACACCAACACCAGCACCAGCAGGACAGGGTGCGTCTGAGCCAGCCACTGGGGCTATGGCTCGAGGAAGAGCAACGGCAAGAGGCCGTGGTAGAGGTCGTGGGAGGACGTCCTCTAGAGGAAGAGGAAGAGCACCTAACCCATCTGATACTAGGGCGGTGACTCCTCCACCGACTGAAGAAGTAGTAAGAGAAGGGGAGGATGGGGAGAATGAACAAGTGCAGAATGAGGAAATGCCACCCTAACCTACCCCAGAGATGATCAATCAGGTTCTGGCTTATCTTAGCGGGTTATCTGATCAGGGCCAGACACCCCCAGTGTTTTCTGCACCAGCACCTCAGGCTCCGAAGGTACAACATGCGGCTACTATGGCTCCCCGCATGGATGTTCCATTGGAAATAAGCACATTTCCTCGTCTGACTACAGGGCCTGTAATGACAAATGATCAACATGAACTTTTCAGTAATTTCTTGAAATTGAAACCTCTAGTCTTCAAGGGTGCTGAATCGGAGGATGCTTATGATTTTCTGGTTGACTGTCACGAGCTACTACACAAGATGGGTATAGTAGAACGGTTTGGTGTTGAGTTCGTGAGTTATCAGTTTCAAGGGAACGCCAAAATGTGGTGGCGGTCACATATTGAGTGTCAACCAATAGAGGCACCACCTATGACTTGGGCCTCATTCTCTAGCTTGTTTATGGAGAAGTATATCCCCCGAACTTTGAGGGATAGGAAAAGGGATGAGTTCTTGAGCCTAGAGCAAGGTAGGATGTCGGTCAATGCATATGAGGCTAAGTTTCGTGCATTATCCCGGTATGCCACCCAACTATGTTTCAGTCCACAAGAGCGGATTCGCCATTTTGTGAAGGGGTTGAGGTCAGAGTTGCGAATTTCAGCCTTACAGGTAGCGGCTACGGCAAAATCCTTCCATGAGGTGGTAGACTTCGTGATAGAGGTGGAAGGAGTGAAGCCATATGACTTCAACACGACATCGACATAAAAAAGGTTTCAAAAGGGAGGTGATTTTAATGGTTCTTACTCTAGAGGACAAGGTTCCGGAGGTTACTCAGTTCGACCCATTTAGTCTTCACTACAGACTGTAGTTGGGGGTCCACCTCAGACTGGTCAACACTTCTCTGAGAGACCTATGCTTGACTCCAGAGAGTGTTATGGATGTGGGGAGACTGGACATATTAAGAGGAATTGTCCAAAACAGAGTTATAGACCCCCAATGGCTAGAGGTAGAGGTGGTCATGGTAGAGGTCGTTATTCTGGAGGACGTGGTGGTCGAGTTAATGGTGGTCACCAAAATGGCCGATGTGATGGGCAAACTTGAACCACTACATAACAACATGGTAGGGGCAATGGACAGACAAACGATAGGGCCCATTGTTACGCTTTCCCTGGGCGGTCTGAAGCGAAGGCATCTGATGCTGTCATCACAGGTAATCTTCTGGTTTGTGATTGCATGGCTTCTGTATTGTTTGATCCTGGATCCACATTTTCTTATGTATCTTCCTCATTTTCTTATGGTCTAAATTTACATTGTGAATTACTTGATATGCCTATTCGTGTTTCTGCTCCGGTGGGTGAGTCTGTGGTAGTTGAAAAGGTATATAGGTCTTGTTTGGTAAACTTTGTGGGTAGCAACACTTTTTTAGATTTGGTTATCTTACAAATGGATGATTTTGATGTAATTCTGGGTATGACTTGGCTTTCTCCACAATTTTCGATCTTGGATTGTAATGCTAAAACGGTGACGTTAGCCAAGCCTGGGACAGATCCGTTAGTTTGGGAGGGTGACTACACTTCCAATCCGGTGCGTATCATCTCCTTTCTTCGTGCTAAGAAAATGGTTAGTAAAGGGTGTTTAGCTTTCTTGGCACATCTCAAGGATGACACTACCCAAGTACCTTCAATTGAGTCGGTTTCGGTGGTCCGTGAGTTTCTGGATGTGTTCCCTGCAAATCTTCTTGGTATGCCACCAGATAGGGATATTGATTTCTGTATTGACCTTGAACTGGGTACTCGCCCCATTTCTATACCCCCTTATAGAATGGCTCCCACGGAGTTAAGAGAGTTAAAAGCCCAACTTCAAGAGTTGTTAAACAAAGGCTTTATTAGACCAAGTGCATCTCCTTGGGGTGCTCCGGTTTTGTTTGTGAAGAAGAAGGATGGGAGTTTTCGAATGGGTATTGACTACAGACAACTAAACAAGGTAACCATAAAGAACAAGTATCCTCTTCCTCGCATTGATGACTTGTTCGATCAGTTACAAGGTGCTTGTGTCTTCTCTAAGATTGATTTGAGATCCGGTTATCATCAATTGAAAATACGGGCAACGGATGTGCCAAAGACTGCTTTTCGAATGAGGTATGGGCATTACGAATTTGTAGTGATGTCTTTTGGTCTTACAAATGCCCCTGTTGCATTCATGAGCTTGATGAACGGGATTTTTAAGCCATATTTGGACCTCTTCGTGATCGTATTTATTGATGATATACTGATATACTCAAAGAGCAATAAAGAACATGAGGAGCATTTGAGAATGGTATTGGAAATGTTGAGGGAGAAAAAGCTTTATGCCAAGTTCTCTAAGCGTGAGTTTTGGCTAGATGCAGTGTCCTTCTTGGGGCACGTGGTTTCTAAGGATGGAGTGATGGTGGATCCTTCTAAGATTGAGACAGTAAAGAATTGGGTAAGACCTACTAATGTGTCAGAAATAAGGAGCTTTGTTGGGTTAGCTAGCTACTACTGCCGATTTGTCAAGGGATTCTCTTCTATTACTTCCCAACTGACAAACTTGACCAAGCAAAATGTTCTATTTGTATGGTCGGATGAGTGTGAAGAAAGCTTTCAGAAGCTCAAGACTTTGTTGACTACCGCACCTATCCTTACCTTGCCAGTAGAGGGTAAGAACTTCATTGTTTATTGTGATGCATCCTATTCGGGTTTGGGTGCAGTGCTAATGCAAGAGAAGAATGTGATTGCTTATGCTTTGAGGCAATTAAAAGTACATGAACGTAACTATCCAACTCATGATTTGGAGTTGGCCGCGGTAGTGTTTGCATTAAATCAATGGAGACACTATTTATATGGGGTTAAGTGTGAGGTCTACACGGATCATCGTAGCCTTCAGTATGTCTTTACTCAGAAAGATTTGAACTTAAGACAGAGGAGATGGATGGAGTTACTAAAGGACTACGATATCACTATCTTGTATCATCCGAGAAAAGCGAATGTTGTGGCAGATGCTCTAAGTAGAAAAGCGGGAAGCATGGGAAGTCTAGCCCACTTGCAAGTTTCTAGACGTCCATTGGCTAGAGAAGTCCAGACTCTAGCTAATGACTTGATGAGATTAGAAGTAAATGAGAAGGGAGGATTGTTGGCTTCTGTGGAGGCAAGATCTTCCTTTCTTGACAAGATTAAGGGAAGACAGTTTGATGATGAGAAACTGCGCAGAATCCAAGATAAGGTATTACGAGGAGAGGCTAAGGAAGCACAAATCGATGAGGAAGGTGTTTTGAGGATTAAGGGAAGGGTATGCGTACCCCGCATCGATGATTTGATTAACACTATTCTGACAGAGGCTCATAGTTCAAGGTATTCGATACATCCGGGGGCAACCAAGATGTACCGTGACCTAAAGCAACACTTTTGGTGGAGTAGAATGAAGCGTGATATTGTGGATTTTATTGCCAAATGTCCAAACTGTCAACAAGTAAAGTATGAACACCAAAGGCCCGGAGGAACACTTCAGAGAATGCCCATTTCGGAATGGAAATGGGAGAGAATCGCAATGGACTAAGGGGTTGGTCTTCCAAAGATGAGGGGTAGGTATGACTCTATTTGGGTGATTGTTGATAGGTGAACTAAGTCTGCTCATTTTATTCCGGTTAAGGTGACTTACAATGCCGAGAAGTTAGCCAAGATCTATATCTCAGAAATCGTTCGATTGCATGGAGTTCCACTATCCATCATATCAGATAGAGGTACGCAGTTTACTTCTATGTTTTGGAAAACATTGCATGCGGAATTGGGTACTAGGTTGGACCTTAGTACTGCGTTCCATCCTCAGACCGATGGTCAGTCTGAGCGAACGATTCAAGTGTTGGAGGATATGCTTCGTGCGTGTGTGATAGAATTTGGTGGCCATTGGGATAGCTTCTTATCCTTAGCAGAATTTTCATACAATAATAGCTATCACTCGAGCATTGATATGGCTCCATTTGAAGCATTGTATGGTAGGAGATGTAGGTCCCCCATTGGTTGGTTTGATGCGTTCGAGGTTAGACCTTGGGGTACTGATCTCTTGAGGGATTCGATGGAGAAGGTGAAATCTATTCAAGAAAAGCTTCTAGCGGCGCAAAGTAGACAAAAAGAATATGCAGATCGAAAGGTTAGAGACATAGAGTTCATGGAGGGAGAACAAGTCTTGCTGAAGGTTTCGCCCATGAAAGGGGTGATGCGGTTTGGAAAAAGGGGTAAGCTAAGTCCAAGGTATATTGGACCATTTGAAGTACTCAAGCGAGTAGGGGAGGTGGCTTATGAGTTAGCCTTGCCTCCAGGGCTGTCCGGGGTACATCCGGTATTCCATGTGTCGATGTTGAAAAGATACCATGGGGATGGAAACTACATTATCCGTTGGGATTCAGTTTTGCTTGATGAGAACTTGTCTTGTGAGGAGGAACCTGTTGCCATTCTAGATAGAGAAATTCACAAATTGAGATCAAGGGAGATTGCATCCATCAAAGTTCAATGGAAGAATCGACCCGTTGAAGAAGCCACATGGGAGAAGGAGGCGGATATGCGAGAAAAATACCCACATCTGTTTACAGATTCAGGTACTCCTTTTCGCCCTTGTTTTCCTTCTTGTGATCGTTCGGGGACGAACGATGGGTAAATTGGTATCTAATGTAACGACCTGTTTAGTCGTTTTGAGTAGCAGACTTCAATTCTGGAAAAACTGGCAGAAGCGACGGACCCCACGACGGACCGTCATGGGCACGACGGACCGTCGCAGGGTCTCGTTTCAAAACACTTAGAAAATCTGAATTTGGGTACTGAAAATTGACTCTCTGAACTTCGTGACGGAGTGGCAGGACGGACCGTCGCAGGCTCGACGGCCCGTCACAGGCCATTCACTTAAAATCGAGTTTCTGAAGCATGTGACGGACAGTAGGACGGACCGTCGCAGGCACGACGGCCCGTCACTGGCTACGCAATCCCATGATGGGTCGGATTTCTGTTAATTTATTTAAGGGGCGTTCTGGACTATTTCCTGCTTTAGTTATAAAGTGGTGGGTTAATGTTAATAAGTCTAATTACTTGGGGGTTAAAAGAGGTAACCTTAAGTTAACTAGTGGGCTATTATTGCCATCTTTTACACTTAATTATATGTTAATTAGGGAAAAAGAAAGAGGGTTTGAATAAGAAAAATAAGAAAGAACAAAGAGAGAATGAAAAAGAAAGAGAATGAGTAGAGAGAGAGAGAAACGAAGAGGATAGCAAGGATTTTGAGAAGATAGCTTGTTGATCGCAATTCTTCGGTGGAGGTAGGTTATGGTTTTCATGCTATTCGTAGTAAACTCTTAATAGCGAATAATATGTGTTAGTAGTGTTGTGAACCTTCTATATGCTTAATTATATGCATGCATAAATGTGATTATATAATTGTGATTATATTAAGCATGATGAAGTTATTGAATCCCAAATCTTGATAAAAACCTAATCATGCCTTGGTAAGGGAGAAGACTTGATGAACTAAAGTAATGAGATTGATGATGCCTTGGTAAGGGAGAAGGCTTGATGAGTTGATAGAATGAGATAAGGGATCGGGTGTCATGAACCGACACGTAGAATTAGGAGATCGGTATCACGAACCGACACGTAGATTTAGGGGATCGGGTGTCACGAACCGACACGTAGAATTAGGGGATTGGGTGTCACGAACCGACACGTAGATTTAGGGGATCGGGTGTCACAAACCGATACGTAGATTTAAGGGATCGGAGTGTCACGTACCGACACAAGAGGATTAATAAATATGAGGGAGAGGAGTGTCACGTACCGACACAAGAGAACTAAAGATAATGAATATTGAAAGATGTTAATATACTCAATCTAATGTACATAATTCCCAAATGAGTATGGTATTGAGGCTTGAGTCCTCATGTGTGAACTTGACGGTAATTGTTAATGATATAGTACTTGTTGTTGCTACATTTTGAGTATCATAGTTGATTTTATGATATTACTTGATATATATTATTTTCTATTTTGAGTTGGCCGATGATATCTACTCAGTACCCATGTTTAGTACTGACCCCTACTTTTATGTTTTTCTTTTTGTTATTTGTGGAGTGCAGCAAACATGCCGTCGTCTTCAACTCAACAGTAATTCTAGCCAGTCTTCGTCACACCGGATCTTCAGGGTGAGCTAACGCTTCTAGCTTGGACTGGATCTTCTCCTTCATGTCTTGATGCCTTGAAGTTCCGGCATGGACTAGCTATTATTTGTTTTAGCTTTTTAGAATACTCTTAGTTTAGTCATTTGATCGTAGATGTTCTTGTGGTGATGACTTCCAGATTTTGGGGAATGATAAGTTTTGAGTTATAGAATTTGATTATTGATTTTTATTAATGAGTTTAAGTCTTCCGCATTACTTCATGATGATATTATATTGAAATGTTAAGATTTAGATTTGTTGGTTCGCTCACATAGGAGGGTAAGTGTGGGTGCCAGTCGCGGCCCGGATTTGGGTCGTGACACCTTCTTACCTTTTCCTCTCATTATTATAATAATTATAACTACCACTTGAATTTGATCCATATTTCAATTGCATAAATAAGAAATTATTTTTGTTACCTGATCGTGAAGTGGGTAGTCTCCCCGCCAGCCGCCACTCGATGCAGGTTAATTTCTTTCCCTTTTTCTCTTATCTCCTTTTTGTTTTTAATTAAAGTAATTAGGTATTTAAGTGGTAAATTTTACTAACTTAATTTTATTATATGGAACAAATGGTATAAGATCTTAAATAGAAGATACTTTAGTCCATTAACTATCAATTAAGTCAATTGTCCATAAATAATTAACTAAAGTCAATGAATAGTTCAAAATTATCAAAAATGACCTCTGGGGTCATTACAATTATTTCATTTTTAAAATGTCTCCTATCCTATCACCCTCTACTGCTCACTCTTCCTTAAAAAATGTTAGTAGAAGATTGGGAGTAATTGTCTTTTATTTAGTGATGGAACGTGGTTGTTTATGACTATTACTTCTCATTTACACTACATTATATCACACATATTTTATCTTTTTATGTTTTGTAATGGGATAAATAACAAGGAGCCCTAGAATATAACAAAATCTTAGAGACACACCTAAACATAAAAATGGTCCTATTAGCCTCTCCTCCCCTCCCGAACTCATTTTTTTCATATTTATGTGCACCTTTTGTGCTGGGGTGGCAAGTTCAACCACCCGATTAAGTTATGTTTGTACACTGGCCTGCCACACACACATGTGTGTGTGTGTAGGTGTGTGTGTGTGTGTGTGTGTGTGTATAGATAGATAGATAGATCGATAGATAGATAGATAGATATATAGATAGATAGATATATAATATAACAAAAAACAATATTTTAAAAAATATTTTTGTTTTCTTTATCTTGTGTTTAAATTAAGTTAATACACTCTTTTTTACCTTATACCGAAACTTCTAATTTTTACCTTGATTCATTAGTTTTCTTTTGATTTTATTGTTTGTTGTATTTCATTTTATTTTTGTTTCAAATCTAATTTCAAGTGTCTTGTATTCAAAATAACTTAATATTGAAGTGATATCAAAATAAATGAAGAAGACCAAATCAATCATCATTCAATAAGATGTTAAAACTAAAGGACACTTTTAAATTATTTCTTTTTTAAATAAAACATAATTTTTTAAAATAATTTGAAAGTGAAAAAATAAAAAATTATTTTTAAAAAGTTTGATAATTAATTAAAATAAATGTAAGTTTTATATCTATCTATCTATTTACATCTATCTATACTATCTTAAAAACATGAACTCACTAACTTGAATGTTAAAATACTAAAATACCCCCAAATTAAAACACTATATTTAGTACATATGTTATATATTTAAAATTTAAATTATTTATGAAATATTATATTAAAATTATATACTTTTTGTTGGGCAATGACTCTTCCGGAAGATTCTGATATTGTTATAGAGTTCTGACTTTTTCGATGAGTTATGACATATTTGAGAAGTTGTGGTTTTTTTTGAAGGGTTGTGACTTTTCGGAAAAGATGCGATAAAACTTTTTCATAATATACTTTCATTTGTTTAAATAGAGGGGATTTTTCACACTTTTATACTACTGGTAAGTTTTCTATTCTTCTTCTTAAAATAAGGAAAATTGTTAGTTGTTTAATCATTCAATTATAATATTTTTTGGTTTTCTATTTTTATTCTTTAAATATGGAATTGTGAGAGTTTTTCAATCATTCAATTACAATATTTTTTTTGTGGATAAAATAGATAGATAAAAAAAATATTGATTTGACAAGGCAAATAAAATAACTCAACTTCAAATGGAAATATTCTCTTGATAATTCATATTTACTCATTTTATAGCAACTTCTACTTGACAAAAAGACCAATAACTTCTGTTTCACAACCTACAAATTAGTATAAAAAGATAGAAAGTCTCAAAATGTGAGGGAAAATGTACTTGATTAAAAACTATTTGAAGAGTCCAAACTACATTAAGTAAATACTCTTTCCTTTCCAATTTATTTAGTGAACTTTTACTTTTATTTAGTTTAATATAGACTTTTATTTTTTCTTTGGGTGTGACACATCTTTAAGACCACAAATTGAAAAGAACTTTTAATATATTCAACATATGATATTTAAATTGAAATTCTTTTTTTATTTTTTTAAAACTTCATATAAAATTAAAATTAGACCGATCTATATGTATACAATTTTTATCGATCTATACTACTTAACTTAAAAACCAAATGTAGTATATCCTCTATATTTTATATTTTTTTTATATTTATTTGTGTGTATTATAACATATTATATTAAGATAGACACATTTTCACAATTAACGGGTTGTGACATTTTTGAAGAGTTATAACTTTTCAGATGAATTGTGAGCTTTGAAAAGGGTTGTAAATTTTCTATAGGATTGCTACTCTGATGAGATGTAAGTTTTTTGAAGGGTTGTAAAATTTCCGAAGATTTATTACTTTTTCTATGAGTTGTGACTTTTCCGATTGGTTTTGAGTTTTCTAAAGGGTTGTGACATCTTTTTGATAAGGCACAGTATGTAATTTTTTACACACTACCATTTGTTGTCTACAAAGAGAGGGGTTTCCTCAAATTTTTAAACTATATTTTTTATAAAAAAATATTCATTATTCTTGTTCTTCTTCTTCTTAAAAGACCATATTTAGTATATCTTCTATATCTTTATGATGAAACAATAAGCACATACTATTACTGCAAATTTTAATTATAAATGATGGGGTTTCCTCACATTTTAAACAACATTTTAAAATATTTTTAGTTCTTCTTTTCTTTAAACCTCAGGATTGATTTATAGACGTGGGCAATCTCAAAGGTTAGTAAAATTACTATATTCCCCAACATGAATGTTAAAATTAATTTATTCCAACTGAAAAAACATCAAATTTAGTACATCTTATATATTTTATAATAATATTTATATTATATTATATTATATTATATTGGAAGTAAAAACACAAACAATAAAATGATAACATAGTACCACACTAAAGCGAAGGAGGAGAAAGTATATTGAAAAGGTGTAATTAGAAGTTATTAAGTCTGACAATTTTTTATTTTAATAATGTTAACTTTATATTTAAAAATAGTATGCTACCTGGTTTTTGACATTAATGTGCAATGCACCTGCATCAAAAGTAGTAGTCAATAAATATATGTACGAACTAATTATAAAATTATTAATTAATGAATGTGACATTTGTCCAATTTGGGCACTCATCACTTATCTTTAAGTGTATACGCACACTCTCTATCCCATGTTAACGTATTTATTATATTTATTCCATTTTAAACTAGTTTGGGGGGGAGGGGTAGTGGGGTGAGTAATAGGACATAGTAAAATTTAGGTGTGTCTTTAAAATTTTGGTCATAGACCACAGGGGTACTTGCGCCTTATCCGTATTATAATTTATGTAAACTCTATGCAATTTATCTTCCCTATTTATTAGCCCATAATCTTTCTATTTATTGCAAGGAAAAATTTCTCCCCTATAAATAGTGATGGTATTACTCCATAATTAGCACAATATTGAGAATAATTGTCTTTTGCTTAGTAACTAAATGTGGTCATCCATTACCATAACTTCTCATTGGAACTCCATTATTTTATTTTATTTTTATGTTTTGTGATTCATATAACCTCTATGTAACGACCCGTAACTGCCCCTAGAAGTTAGGGAAAACCCTTTGTTCGTCATAGGGCGTACTTGACCTTTGGGGTCTTGTACAAGCCGATTATCGTTCATTACATAAATCATGAAAAGTAGTGCGAAATTAAATATACCAAGTATGTCATATGAAAAAACATGCAAAAAGGAAATTTTAGTAAAAACACATTTCATACCAATTAAAAATCAACACTTAACAGTGGGAGAAGGATATCCGTGATTTTAACACAAAAAGGAACATTTTACAGTAAGCTTTCAAAATGTTACAGTGAACTTTTTTTTAGCATTACTGTGAAACATTTTATTCCAAATACAGTGAACTTCCAAATCCAAACCAAGAGGAAATGAACTCATTTTCGTAGGATGTTCCCAAGTTAAGGTCATCCTATGACTTACTACGGTAAGATATGAAGGAAATGAACAACACCCCCTTCAATACACATCAAAATGATCCCCAAGACTACCCCTTCTAGGCATACTAACCTCGAGAGAACAAGCTCTCACTCAATGACAGGACATAAGAAGAACACTCAAATAACACACCAAGACTCCCCTTTCGGAATGCCTACATAGTGCAATAGATAGAATGCGTCTCATTCCACTACCTACCCTCAAAAGCACACTCTTTGACAAGACTCGTAACTTTCATTACTTTTGTGGGGGTTATCATACAAGACATAGGTCATCAGAGCTAGACATGGAATCCCGATACATTCCTTATCAGTGTAGGGTACCTCATTTGCCTAGAGTGAGGTTTTCTTCTAGCTTTTACATGTCTTTGCAAATATCTACACCTATGCTGGCGAATAGTTAAGGGATAAGGTGATTACTACTAAATAAATGATTCTCTACTAACGAGGAGTACTTCTCTCAAGAGGTACATTGGCATACAAAATCTCAACTCACGAAGTGTAACCACCCATTCTTCATATCCTCTCGGTGCTAGGCATGACTCCCCACGGATTCTCAACGTTATACACTATAGGTTAATGATAACTAGTGAACACCACATCTCAACTCATGAAGGAAATTCATCTTCCAACCTATCTTAGAAACCTCTTAGTATGTAGTGAGATTGCTACTAAATCTCAACTCACGTAGAGTGTTCGCCTAAAAACTCCCCTTTCGACTTAACATAGCTTCATTTATTCATTCATTCAAATGCGTGTGTACATATGAAAACACCTTGCATTTAAACATCATTTCATTTACAATAACTTCTATACATGCTTAGGCCTTTCATTCATCAGATTACACATTTTAACATGCTCAATCCATACACATACTTCATATAGGCATAATCTAGGTAAAACATACAATTCAAGCTTCATAATGCATATCAACATGAGACTCATAATTATCACTTCATTTCACACACAAAGCCTTCAAATCCATACTCACAATACATACCAAATACA